GTAACTTTGTCAGCAGTAGACACACGTTTGCAGAAAAAAAAATGTAATAATAAACATAATCAGAAGTGCTATTGCTAACAATATTTACAATGCTTATGAAGCTTTAGGGGAGAATGTATGGATATCAGAGATAAAGTACGAATGATAGAGTGTAAGCATAAATCCAGAGGTGAATGGGGGGGGGGGGGGGGCAGTAGCATTCAGAATAATTAGATATATGCATCAAGGTCCCTCTGAAGCATCTTATCTTACTTTATGCTTCTGCTGTATTATAATGTGAACTGTAAGTTTAATAAACAAGTAAATATGACTACTTATATCTTAAAAACCAGATGACGTCTTCAGTTTAATTGCATAGATATCTAGGTGGTAGACAGACAAACATACATTGTTAAATGTCTTATTTGCCCTTTGTTGATGTTTTTACCTCCAGCAACAGCATATAAAAGTTAGACCCTGGTGGCAGGCTACAGAGTGGACAGCTTCTGCTTGTGTATGAGTAGTGATCTTGCTGTAGTAGGCCAAAAACAATTAGCAAAGCTCATATTTCCTGCTGGTTGGTAAGCTCTAATTCTGAGACAGCAATGACATGTTGGACCACTGCAGAGAGACCACTGCTCACACACAGATAGCAGTGGTCCTCCTTCAGCCTATTTGTAAGGGAATTCCAGTAAGGCGACTGGCTCATAGATGTGCACATGCACATAGTAGCACTCATAGAATTGAGCACACACACAGGAGCGTGTCTTCAATTTCTGGCACCAGACGGGCTATTTAATGGATGCTCTTGCTCACTGACAGTGCCGACTGATCTTCATCTTTTTTTTTGTGTCCTGAGAGCATCCTGTATCTGATTTCCATTAATGACCAGGCTTGTTATTGACTTGATGCTGGATTCTGCTTCTACCTCTGCTTGCCTGCTCCTGACCTTGGCTTCTTCCTGACCACTCTTCTTCCTACACTTCTGTACCTCAACACCCACCTGCTGCTGACCTTGCTTGTTGGCATCGTACTACTTCTGAGTGTCTGATTTGCCTGTCCTTCATAACCACTCCAGTCTTCGCAGTGTGTTCCTGCCTAAAGCCTGCTGAAAGCTTCAACACCATCTGTTCCACCTTTAGTGGGGCCTGGGCTGGGGATGAAAGAGAGGCCAACCCAGGGGCGGACTGACCATTTGGAAACTTGGGCGCTGCCCGAGGGCCTGGGGTCAGTAGGGGGCCCCATGAGATGCCCCTGGTACCTTTTTCATAGGCTTTTTTGAGTTTGGGCAAGGACACAGGGGCCCCATGATCCCCTATTACCCGGGGGCCCCATGAGTTGTCAGTCCCCCCCTGGGCCAACCTCATCAATTCAGTCTCCTACAAGGTACTTGACACAAGGTCCAAATTTTTCATATTGGTTTTGGAGATAACAACATTACATGAGGGCAGTAAGACATTTAACAACATGGGTTGATTTACTAAAGGCAGATAAGCTGTTCACTTTGCAAAATAATTTTTCTTAGTGAATTCAGTGAAAATACACTTTGCGAAGAATACTCAATCACATGCAAGGAAAATTTAAAAAAAAAAAATATTTTTGCTTGCACATGCTTAAAGTGCTACTAAAACCCAGGACCGTGCATTCACTATATCTGGTCTCCCACAGTACACAGAACATGGAAGTGCAATTCATTTAGTAAATATAAACTGCTAAATACCTTTTCTCATCAGCAGTTAATAGCAGCCTTGTGACTTCTGTCAGTGTCCAGCCGGTCACTAGCTAAATCTTTTAGGAGTTTTCATTCTGCTCTGACTGTTCTATGAGCTCTGTCTGGACAGTGCTGATTGGCCCTGTGCTGAGCACATGCACCCTCAGAAAGAAAAAAATCTTTCCTAACAATATACACTAAACAGAGCCTGTGCAGAGTGACTCATAGGGCTTGGTAATATTTGCAGATGGATTGGCAACAGTAAATAAGGGGAGGATCAGAAAAGACAGGATCAAACAGCTTTTTTATACAATGCAGAGGATTAACCCCTTGGGTTACATAGTGAGTATAACAAACATGCTTCACTGCATATACAGACCAATTTTACTGTTGTGGGTTTAGTAACACTTTAAGCAAAGAAACCTCATTCACTAAATTAGGGAGAATTACCTTGCAAAATGAACAGCCTTTTTGCCTTTAGTAAATCAACCCGAGTGTTTGTCTGTAACCTCTAATTATCTGTGAAATTTAACATATTTCAACTGGGATTTAAATGTAGATTCTAAGACATTGAAAACACAAATTCTGACTATATTCCAGAGAAGTCTAAAAAGAGTGTTTTTAAATCTGTTCACATAACCTCTTTAAATATTAGCATGTGTCCTTGTGATGTTTTAGGCTACAAAGTTTGCAGAGGCTTTGGGAAATATATGCTCTGAATGAGGGACAATGTGAGGTGTTCAAGGCACAGGAGTTTTTATTTAACATGGTTATTTTAGTGTTCTGTTAGTAGCATATTTAAAGGATAAATTCACCTTTGGGAACATGTTACATGTTCCATTTGTTTTTAGGGTGGGTTATGTAACATGTTCCCACTCCTGCAGCTGCTGCCTGCTCTGCTGCCTTTAGTGACAGCAAGCGGTCCAGATGTATCATTCATTCAGTGTTCTGTGAATGGGAAATTACAAGCTCCGACAGCCTTTGCGGCTCTTGGCTTGCAGTTCTCAATGATCTGCCATGGCTCTGTTGAGTGCTCTGGTAGTTTATTGTCTGTCAGTGTGTATCTGCTTGTCTGCACCAGGTAAGAGCAGACAGATGCATCATGCATGGCACCCTCGAAATTCTGATCGTGGGTGCAATGCTTTAAAGGATCCAGGTAAAAAAAATAATACATGAACTTTTTTATTACCTGCAAAAAAGATTTGCATTTATCATTTTTTTTTAAAGGTGAACTTTCCTTTAGGACATATTAGTTATATAATGTAAGTTACTTTAAAAACTCTGGTTTTGCACATCTTGAGTATGCAGTCTGATTCTGGTCACCAATCTTCAGCAAGGATGTCCTTGAACTGGAAAGAGTCCAGAGAAGGGCAACAAATCTAATAAGGGGGCTGGAGGTCCTCAGTTATGAGGAATGGCTACAAAAATTAAACTTATTCTCCCTGCTGAAGAGACCATTAAGTGGGGATATGATCGTAATATACAAATCTTTAAATGGTAACTCTAGCATTGGGAGTAAAGTGTTTAATCTTAGAGCTCTAAAAAAGACACATAGCCACGAAATAAAGTTAGACAGTAAGTAAGAGTCATAAACTGCGTAGGGGGTTCTTTACTGTTAGAATGGTAAAGATGTGTGGAGCTCCCTTCCACAGTTGGTGGTGTCAGTAGAGAATGTAGATACATTTAAAAAATACTTTTAAATGTGTTTTTTAATTAATACAATGTACTGGGATATTGAAAATAGTAGCAACGATGGTAGCACAAGCTTTTAAATAAGCAACTCTAGTGCACAGGGGCCAATGTTAGGCTGCTAAACCAGTGACCAGAGCAGTCTTTATGCTCTATATAAAACTAACTCTTAGGACACCAATTCTCTGTCAAGATCTTTAAACTAATACTCTTAAACAGCGATGAAGGGATTCTCTTAGAACCCCAAAAACACATTGGATTTTTAAATAAGCATTTTGGTTAATAAACTTTAACTGGAATATAAAACAGCTCTTTTGCTATTATGACAACCAAAAGTGGTTTGTATAGTGCTAGCAGAAGATCCACAGATGTCTTTTTTTTCTACTTACCTAATTGGCTCACTGCTTTGTCTAAAAATCTTCACAGAGGTTGAAATCAAATTACAGTTATCCTCTGAAAAAATAGTTGTTACTAAGATACTTGCAAGACTCCTGCATGTGTAGATGAATTGTAGGGCTTTCAAATAGTAAAAATTATGACAGAAACTCCTGTAAGCAGCCAGTTTGAGAGAAGACATGCATTTCTTCAGAACAGAAATAGTTAGGAGTCTACGTTATATAGTACTCACCTGGATGAGATTGTGCATTTTTATCCACATTGCATATTTCATTTTTTGATATGTCAGACATGCCAAAACATATTTCACTTCTTGATAAGCGAAACAAACCTGGTGTGCAATGGCATTACAATGAGGATCCTGACAGCTTTACACAATCCCTGTATTAGTGAATGCTTGTACAAATCTAAACCAAAAATGTGTGTGTGTGTATATATATATATATATATATATATATATACTGTACATACAGTATATGGCGTTCGAGTCTAACAGGGATTTTTTATGGAGGTACTACATATAGTAGTGAGTAGCAAGTGTGTCCTATTACTGATAGGCAGCACACATGTCACCAGCCAGTCCACAGACCATTAATCAAGATGGAACAGTGCATGCATGGAACAGCGGTTGGTGATGAGCATACGTCATCAGATAGTGATGTGATGGACATCAGTTCATCAGTGATCAGTGATATGTGGTGGCTACCAGCCTACAGCAGTTATTCCTGTGAACATTCAGTGCGAGGAACACCTGAACCTGGATAATCAACACATAACCTGTCATGAAATTTCACAAGAGACAAATCTTTTTGTGGGAACGGTGAACATGATAATTACGAAGTGAAACATGCTGTCTTAGGATGGTTCAGGTGTACTGACAAATCTTTCTATGTCGAAGCTTTCCAGGCATTAGTTAAAAGCTGGCATAAGTGTATAAATGCAGGAGGAGAGCATGTTAAAAAATAAATGCAGTTTTCCACTCCTTGAAATTTGTTCTTTTATTATATAACCTCAAAAGTCCCAGTTTGACTTGAATGCCCCTCGTGCATACACACATACACACACACACACACACACACACACACACACACACACACACATATATATATATATATACACACACACACACACACTATGTTGCCAAACGTATTGTGACACCCCTCAAAATCATTGGATTCAGATGTTCCAATCACCTCCATGGCCTGTGTATATACCTGTGTATAAAATCAAGCATTTAGAAATACAGACTCCTTCTACAAACATTTGTGAAAGGATGGGATGCTCTCAGGAGCTCAGTAAATTCAGGCGTGTGGTACCGTGATAAGTTGCCATCTGTGCAATAAGTCCATCCGTGAAATTTCCTTGCTACTAAATATTTCACGGTGAACAATTAGTGATATTATAACAACGTGTATGCAACTGGGAACAACAGCAACTCAGCCACAAAGTGGTAGGCCATGTAAAATGACAGAGTAGGGTCAGTGCATGCTGAAGCTCACAGTATGCAGAAGTCGCCAACTGTCTGTAGAGTCAATAGCTAAAGACCTCCAAACTTCATGCTGTTGCCTTCAGATTACTGCACTAACAATGTGTAGAGAGCTTCATGGAATGGGTTTCCATGGCAGAGCAGCTACATTCAAGCCTTGCATCATCAAGTGCAATGCAAAGCGTTGGATGCAGTGGTGTAAAGCACACTGACACTGGACTCTAGAGCAGTGAAGATGTGTTCTCTGGAGTGACGAATCACGCCTCTCTGTCTGGCAATCTGCTGGACATGTCTGGGTTTGGTGGTTGCCAGAAGAAAGGTACTTGCCTGAGTGCATTGTGCCAAGTGTAAAGTTTGGTGGAGGGGGATTATGGCATGAGGTTGTTTATTAGAGCAGAGACTGTGAGCCAGGCCTTCTCGTCTGACATCAGTGCCAGACTTACAAATGCGCTTTTGGAAGAATGGTCAAACTGTCCCATAGACACATTCCTTGCCTTCCCAGAAGAGTTGAAGCCGTTATAGCTTCAAAGGGTGGGCCAACTCAACATTAAACCTTATGGACTAAGAGTAAGGTTCATGCGCGTGTAAAGGCAGGCATCTCAATACTTTTGGCAATGTATTTTTATTTATATACATATACCGTATTTTTCGCACCATAAGACGCACTTTTTCCCCCCCCAAAAAAGGGGGGAAAATGTCAGTGCGTCTTATGGAGCGAATATAAAGCGGCCAGTCCGGTATTTTTGCGGCCACCATGTCAGAATACCGGGCCGGCCGCTCAGCTGTTGTCTCCTGCAGGGCCTTACCTGTTCCTCGCTCCAGCGCTGCACAGTCTTCCCGCGCTGGCTTCTGTGACAGCCGGGTGCCCACTGCGCATGTGCTGCGCTTTGTGAATGATCCGGTGTCTTCTGGGACACATGAAGGGTCCCAGAAGGCGCCGGGCCATTCACAAAGCGAAGCGCTTCTCGCACCTGCGCAGTGGGCACCCGGCTGTCACAGAAGCCGGCCCGGGAAGAAGAGGAAAGGCAACTCCGCGGAAGTAGGAGCTGTCAAATTCAGGTAACCGCTCCCCCTCCCTTCCCAAAGGTCAGCAGTCTCTGGTCATCTCCTGCACTGTCCGCAGTCTCTGGTCATTCCCTGCACTGTCCGCAGTCTCTGGTCATTCCCTGCACTGTGTCCGCAGTCTCTGGTCATTCCCTGCACTGTGTCCGCAGTCTCTGGTCATCCCTTGCACTGTCTGCAGTCTCTGGTCATTCCCTGCACTGTCTGCAGTCTCTGGTCATTCCCTGTACTATGTCCGCAGTCTCTGGTCATCCCCGGTACTGTGTTCGCAGTCTCTGGTCATCTCCTGCACTGTGTCCGCAGTCTCTGGTCATTCCCTGTACTGTGTCCGCAGTCTCTGGTCATCTGCACTATGTCCGCAGTCTCTGGTCATCTCCTGTACTGTGTCCGCAGTCTCTGGTCATCTCCTGTACTATGTCCGCAGTCTCTGGTCATCTCCTGCACTGTGTCCGCAGTCTCTGGTCATATCCTGCACTGTTTTCTGCAGTCTCTGGTCATCTCCTGTACTGTGTCCGCAGTCTCTGGTCATCTCCTGTACTGTGTCCGCAGTCTCTGGTCATCTCCTGTACTGTTTCTGCAGTCTCTGGTCATCTCCTGTACTGTGTCTGCAGTCTCTGGTCATCTCCTGTACTGTGTCCGTAGTCTCTGGTCATCTCCTGCACTGTTTCTGCAGTCTCTGGTCATCTCCTGTACTGTGTCCGCAGTCTCTGGTCATCTCCTGTACTGTGTCCGCAGTCTCTGGTCATCTCCTGTACTGTTTCTGCAGTCTCTGGTCATCTCCTGTACTATGTCTGCAGTCTCTGGTCATCTCCTGTACTGTGTCCGCAGTCTCTCTGGTCATCTCCTGCACTGTTTCTGCAGTCTCTGGTCATCTCCTGTACTGTGTCTGCAGTCTCTGGTCATCTCCTGTCCTATGTCCGCAGTCTCTGGTCATCTCCTGTACTGTGTCCGCAGTCTCTGGTCATCTCCTGTACTGTTTCTGCAGTCTCTGGTCATCTCCTGTACTGTGTCCGCAGTCTCTGGTCATCTCCTGTACTGTGTCCGCAGTCTCTGGTCATCTCATGTACTGTGTCCGCAGTCTCTGGTCATCCCCTGTACTGTGTCTGCAGTCCATTGGTTCAGAATATTTTTTTTTCTTGTTTTTCACCACTAAAACCTAGGTGCGTCTTATGGTCAGGTGCGTCTTATAGCGAAAAATACGGTATATATATATATATATATTTTTTTTTTTTTATATAAACTGTTTATGTAATAAATGTATTCACAGAAAAAAAATGAATTGTGACAAGGGGTTCTTGTAATTATTTTTTTATTTATCCAACATTGTAATAGATTATAAATATTAAATAGCATAAGTTCCAATAACATTTTTGTTTCTTTTGTCAAGTTAAACTTTAAGTTTAAAACTTAGTCATCCACTTTATACTTATACCATATTATCTATGGGATACACCTTCAAAGCACTAAGTCTGAAATAAAGATAGTTAAAGTTTAATGAACAAGGAATTTTTAACACCCGACTCAGAGATACGTTATAATTTTAAATAAGCAGGAAAGTTCTACACAGTTATAATACATGTACTTTAATATTTTGAAATCTAAATGGCCAAAAGGTACAGCAAATGATGTAACAACAACTTCATACAAAAGTATATTTTAGCAATAAAATGTTTTTAAAAAAAAACAAATATATCACTTGAAAATATTTAGACTTTCTTTATTTTTTTTAAATGAAGACTTTTTCTGAACTCACACATTAGTTTTTCTAGAAGTATTTAAGCCAGTATTAATATAGCAAGACCCTTGAGTCATGCAACTTTTTTTATTTTATTCCTTTCATCTTTCCTTGTGAGAAAAGTAAAAAATATCAGTAGCAGCCAGTTAGTTTCAATGGTGTAAGTGGACACTTTGTAATTAATGGACAGATTTAACATATTTCTTCATCTAAATATATAATTAGCTCTTTTCTTTTTTTTCTTTTAATTTTAATATTTAATTACTGAAGAAAAAATAGAGAACTTGAAAGGGAATTAAACATCAGTAAAACTACAGAACTGTTATAATTCATTAATTGTTAATATTCAAACTAATCTTCTCTATTAGTGAAATGCCTTATGTGAGTTTTCATTATTTGACCTTCAAGATTCATCTTAACATTGTCTTTTTAGAATTTTGTACAGCTCCAAGCCATTTATTTCATTTTTAACCAAGGGAAATCTTTTCCGTTCAGGAGCTAAATTGTAAGGTTTGAAAATCTTTCATGAGTTTCACTGACTTTTTTTTAATGTTAACTTGTAACATTTATCTCTTTGAAAATGTATTGCAACAGCCAATTATAGGTTAACCCAATGTAGTTCTTAAAGCTACTAGCAATCATATAAAATACTATTATTTTATGTTTAATTTTATTTCACCATTTTATTAAAAAGCTATGCCTCCATTAAAATAAAAACATGATTGCAAATACAAAAACAGAAAACTAGCTTCATAAGAAGAGCCTAAAGATCATAAAGTAGACTAAAGGGAGAAAAAGGAGCCTCTGTAGCTTTATTGAGAGTTTTATAACATAGACAGACAAAAAGAGCAAAGTGTGCAGACTTATGCCTAGTACACACATTCAGAAAATCAGAGGAAAAAATACCGCTTTCAAAGCAATAATCTAATCTTTACACAGCTCTCAAGACAGTTCATGCAAAATTACCTGAATGGTCAAACACAAAACATTTTTCTTGTACGATACTAGAACAAATGTTTTTTTTTTTAACTACTTGCCTTCTGGAAGATTTACCCCCCTTCGTGACTAGGCCATTTTTTTGGCACTGTTCGGCACTGTGCTATTTCAGCTGGTATTGCACTGCTGTGCAATGCTGTACCCAAAAAAAAAATGTATGTTCTCTTTTTCACACAAATAGAGATTTATTTTAGTGGCATTTGATCACCTGTGCGGTTTTACTTTTTTCGCTATATAATAAAAAATTCCAAACATTTTGAAAAACCCCCCAATATTTTGCACTTTTGGTAATAAAAAATATCCAATAAACTCAAAGTTAGTCTTAAATTTAGGCCAAAATGTATTTTTCTACACGTCCTTGGTAAAAAAAATCCCAATAAATGTATATTAATGAGATTGTGTGAAATTTATAGCATCTACAAACTATGGTATGTATATTGGAATTTACTCTCTGACTGCCTATCACATTTCTTGAGGTGCTAAAATGCCAGGGTAGTACAACAACCCCCCCCCCAAAAAAAAATGATCCCTTTTTGGCAAGTAGACACCCTGAGGATTTTACAGAGAGGCATGATGAGTCCATGGAACATTTTAATTTTTTGCCACACATTTTTTGAATATGATCATTTTTTTTTACACATAGTTGTCACTTAATGATATATTGCTCATGCATGTCATGGGTATATGTGGAATAACACCCTAAAACACAGTCTGCTACTTCTCCAGAATGTGGGGATACCACATGTGAGAGAATTTTTTGGCATCCTAGCTACATACAAGCCCCCATAATCCAATGACAACCTCCAGGCTTTCAAAGGGCATATTTCCTCATATCACTTCCTCACTACCTATCACAGTTTTGGAGAACCTAAAATGCCAGGATAGTAGAAACACCCCCCAAATGACCCCTTTTTGGATAGTAAACACCCCAAGGAATTTGATAAGATTCATGATGAGTATTTTGCAGATATCATTTTTGTCACAGGGTTCTTGAAAACAAAAAAAGAAAAGAAAAAAAGGGGTCATTTGGAGGGGGGTGGCTTCTACTATCCTGGCATTTCAAGGCCAACATTAGAAGCTTATGCCACGTACCAACCACTCTTGAAGACCAAGCTTTTCTGACACTTTTTGTTCAAATGAAAAAATGTTTTTTTGTTAGAAAATTACTATGAACCCCCAAACATTATATATTTTTTTAAAGCAGAGGCTTTAGAGAATAAAATGGAGGGTGTTGACATTTTTTACTTCAAATAGTATTTGCACAGCAATTTTTCAAACACTAATCTTTTGGGGAAAAATACACTTTTTAGAATTTTATGCACAAAAAACACAATATATTGCACAATTGTTTGATAACATATAAAATATGATGTTACGCTGAGTAAATAGATACCAAATATGATATGCTTTAAAATTGTGCATGCCTGTGCAACGGCAACAAAGTACATACATTTTTAAAATATCGATAGGCGATGCTTTAAAAGCCTTTACAGGTCACCAATTTATATTCACACGGGAGGCCTAGTGCTAGAATAACTGCCCTCAATCTGATGTTCACTATGA